TGGGTAAAGCCAAGTGGGTAAAGTTATCAGCCAATGTTGATGATCTCAAAATAGGCAAATATTGTACAATTTATCAGTCTATCACTAGTATGGACACAAGTGAACGTGTGATTTCATGGCAGGTCAAACTGTGCAGTCACTGCCTGAAGGTTGGCCAGAGTTAACAGTGTCTGTGTGTGAAGACTTCTCGCTGTTTGCTCTTTAACAAACAGAGTAACAGCCAGACCTTTTAAATGCTTTTTAATATCACCACTGGCCTTAGGCCTTAAGAAAATGAGTGTGTGTGTGTGTGTGTGTGTGTGTGTGTGCATGTTTATGTGGTTTATGAGGACACTGTGTGTGTGTGTGTGTGTGTGTGTGAGAGAGAGAGATTGGCATATAAATGAGTAGGGCTGCACGATAAATCGCATGCGATATTTAACGCGCATCTTGTCAGAAATCCGGTTCTTTAATCAGCGGTAAATCTCCATCACCTGCGTGCTTTCACATTGAGCAGCATTAACTACACAGAGCCGTTGTTCACTGACGAGCAGCGCAAAAAATCCTGCGACTATGGACGTGGTTTTGCGCAACTCGTCAGTGAACAACGGCTCTGTGTAGTTAATGCTGCTCAATGTGAAAGCACGCAGGTGATGGAGATTTACCGCTGATTAAAGAACCGGATTTCTGACAAGATGCGCGTTAAATATCGCATGCGATTTATCGTGCAGCCCTATAAATGAGGAAAAAAATTCAAACAAACAGGAGTTACATGCGTGTAAAAAGCACATTTTCAAAGAAAAAGTCCTGTATTTCCACTTTTCTGGGTTGGTTTTACGTTAACAGCTAAATCACAACATGGTAATTAAACGCAGCTAGAAAAACATCAACACTAAAATTAGAAAAAAAAACAATATGAACCACTTGACTTCACTAGATGGTTGTTAATCTGTTTGTAGCTGTGCAGAGCTCATAATGGTGTACATGCATTTTACAACTAAAATTTACTTTGATTTGCTTGAGAGCCTTCATACGTCTCTGGAGTCACATCATCTGAACAGAGACAGTATTTTCATAACTCACTAACACAACTTATAATAGAGCACAAGAGACCAATAGATCATAAGGAGCCCTAGAGACTTCTTTCAGTCAAGTTATAGGTCCTGAAACCCTTGTGTTATGGACTGGCAAAGCAGCACACAAGCGTTGACCCAGTACAGAGTGAGAGACAGAGACAGAATTGCAGTGGACGCAGAGAGAGATTATAAATAGAAGTCAAACAGAGGGTGAGCTATGGGCCACAGAATGCCACAATTATGAGTTCTCTTGCTGCAGCCTGGGATGCTGACAACACAAGAGGAGCACAAAATACACAAAGACGACACTCTCGTAGTTGAACACTAGTCACTAACAAACAAGCACAAAAAATACTATTGTACCGCCATGGGTTTTTGACCAGAACCTATACCATATTCCATACCATGATATATCACATCTATTACCATCTGATGCCACAGTACAGTAAATTCTAATGCTTAATAGCAGCATATTTTGCCAAGAAGATCTTAACTCTCTCCCCCACACGTTCATTAATCTTTAATTTGGCCAAATTCATTTCACATCTCCACTCATAATAATCTATAACAAAAACAATAGCCTAATTCTCTCCCTTTGTGCCCAATTTACTGCAGCGCTTGTATCCTTCGCTCCGTAATTATTTCCCCCCGCGCATGCAATTTATTTCCAATCATTTTTGTCTTGCTGAGATAAATTATTTTGGTAAAGGAGCTAATCTTGGTCATTAGTTGTGCTGCGGCTCTGAATAAAACCAGTCGCGCCAGTGAGGAGGGGAAGCCTTCGCGCATGCGCACATCTACCGCTCTACAGCAGCGCGCGGGCCAGTCCGCATTCCAAACTGGAACATCACAAACGAATAACGAATCCGAATAACGGACTTTTCACGGTAAAAGCACACTTCGCAAGATCACCGGTCTTAATTCTGAGGTAAAGTTTGCTCGACACTACATCAGGTTCGTATTCTAGGACTGTGGGGTCTGAGAGACCTCGAACTCTAGCTAATTTTATAGGAACTGCTTACAGACAGGGGTTCAACCTGATAACACGTTTAAGAAGTCCTTATTAAACATTTGACAAATCGAAATTCTTTGACACATGTACAACATTAAGAATCCAGGAATCTAATAATGAGGTAATAAAGTCACTCAACTCAACATGACCGTTAAGTGGTTTGGTTAACGTTACATAGATGTGAATTATAGGCTATTCATATAATACACGTCCAAAAGAGGGAGATGGCTTTAACTCGCTGCCCTACGGGGCCTGAAATCGTTTTTTTTTTATATTCTTCCATAGGCAAACTGTGAGATTATTCCCGTTAGGGTTGTGTTGGGAGTCTAAACAAACGATTCCCTCACGCCTGAGGAAACACATTCCCAATTTCCAGCTGAATGTCCGTCACGCTCTTAACCGTCACGTCGTGATAGCAATAGAAAAGACAGGGACCATGAATAGTCGTCTGAGATGTCGAGACCAATCGTTTTACTAGGGTCCATTTCTTAAACCCTTTAGAGCCGTCAGTAACCAAAACCCCACCAGTCAATGTTCACTAAAAAGCCTGCGCGAGCTCAATGGTCATGTAGGGGCAAATGATGCGGTCATGTCGGTCAACTTCTTGCAAATGATTTATATATGGTTTTCAAGCCCCGTACAGGATCACATAAATGCAGATCCAATGAAGACCAAGAAAATGAATAGTAGTAGTCTATGTACGCGCTTATACACACCCACGGACAGGCAGAACCTTCAGATGCGCCGCAACAACAGCTTCCATAACCAGTTCTGCTGTTAACGCCCTTTTAACACAACACACCTAATTTTTAAATCAATTAGAGCCAATCGATTTTTACCAATGCAACATGTGGTCCTCTCAGATGAGGGTGCCTCTGGATGGAGAAACAGGAGGGGTAGTTTAAAAATAGCCCCTTTAACAACATATGGTTCCAAGACGATTTTCAAATCGGAGCGTTCATACACCGCGTTCCTGAAACGTCCAGGGCTGCGTTTCCCAAAAGCATCGTAAGCCTAAATTGATCGTAGCTCCATTGGTTTCAATGGGTCTACGATGTACTTAAGCTTACAATGCTTTTGGGGAACGCATCCATGGTCTTTATTTACGTGAGAATTGCCCAAAACTCCTATGGAATGTCAGTTTCTTATCGTTCTCGGTAACTTTGACCGAACCCTACCAGAACAACCCCTCGCCATGCCGCTTGCTGTCCTTCTTCTCTGAACTCTAAATGCTTTGACACAATGCAGTCAACCAGCGAGTTTGTTGAACTCTACAACGTGTTTGGAAAGTATACAAACCGGATCAAGTAAACGAAACCGATACGTTTGATACTTTAACGCTGCCATTCAGCCGAGCGTTGGAGGAAATGTAATCGGTAATAAATTCCCAACCTTTCATCCCAGGTTACGCTCTTGTAAAAGGACTGTGTGAAAACACATTTTTCTACTGGAAACTACCAGGTTCCAGCAAACCAGACATCCAAGTGTTTACAAAGTCTCAATGTGATCCACTCTCCGGCAACAATTGAACGCCGGGTTCTTAAAGTTTTGTACAGAATAATCCGTGGTATTCGGATAGTGTAAAAACCAAACGCTGGTTTCCACACTTGAACACCACAGCAGTGCTTAAATTAGACACTACACGAGTCTCGTCTCAACGCAGAGCTGGGCTACAAGATCCTGCTTTCAAAACTACTGCCATGAAAATTTCTACTCACATTTCTAATCATTTTAACGCAGACAGTTCAGGTAATTCGTGTATGGCACTTACACGTTCGAATGATCCTTGGATGGCATGTCCTAGTCATAGTTAAATTCCCAAACTCGCCAAAATATCCCGTTCCGTGGCGCGACTGGAATGCGGCTCGGTGTTCAGAACGCGAGCAGCCTCGATCTGAGCAGCGCGAGGACTGACTGCACTGGAAACGATCAATCACGCGCGGCCCGACGCTGCTCTAGAGCGCCACCTCGCGGCGTGTAAAGCCACGACACTGTAAACTTGCTTGTGAAGCTGAAGTTTATTGGCCAAATCAGTTTGCACATCGGAGGAATTTGTTGTAGAGAAATGATCCCAACATTGACAATGTAGTGCAACATAAAATGCAATAATATACAATACCGTAAAATACACAATAAACTGTGCTGAAACAATATAGCACAACAGTGTTACAATTACTGTAAGTTACATTTGTCAAAAAAATTCATAACCTTTTTCATTTTCAATTAAAGATTTTACACAAATCATTACAGGGCAGCAATCAAATTGATCCCTCTGTAAAAACCACAGGAAACTCACTTGTGCTGAAAGCATTAACATAAAACATCTCTGAAATTCTTCCTATAGCAATAATGTAATGGAGTTAACTAAGTAAAGACTGGTGTGTTTGTGTGAGCATGTGATTACTTGAATACAGAACAAAAGCTCTCTCAGGCCACAGAGTCGATTGATCCGCTGGTGGCGACATCACTCACACTCACGCACGCCAACTCCACAGACTCACAAACATTGTGTGAATGCAAGCAAGCATGTAAATATAAGTATTTGTCAATATAAATAATTCGAACAAAACATTATACTATAAGGCTGGAGATGCAATAAAGCCAGATCTCAACAGATACTCTGATATTGCATTTCATATGATTAATGTCTTTTTTTAATGTCTTTTCCAACAACAACAAAAAACTCTCGCCAAACCACATCAAAGTGTTTGTACTAGCCTGGAAAGAAACGGAAATCACTTGATGACATGTCTTAGTATACAGGTCAGATCTGTACAGCATCTGGCTCTTAGCTAATTGTGCTCATATTGGATAATCACTTAATAAAACAACATTAGTATACTGCAAGAGTTTATTTATTCAGGGCACTTGATAAATGACAACAACAAGTGCAACATAACTGCACCAATAAGTTATTTTGTAATATATTTTACCTCAGCATGTGCACTCACCGACTGGTCATCACCCAATAAAGTGCTCACCCTCTGTTCTTCTGAATCCTGTTAGAGGCACAGCCACATGGCAAGGATTGGCAACCCTGACAACTATCCACCACATTCCACTACTTAAAGATTGCTGCCATAAGGAGATTAACAACGCTGCTTTCTGCACAGGTGTCATACAGACATCCACACACCACCAGAGGCACAAGCATAATTTAGTTGCAATGGCCGGTTTTGTCCCCAACACTTTATGATAGCTCAAGGCACGGATAAATCTAATGCATCTAATACAAAGGAAGCATCTTCAGTTCTTCTAGTGTTTGTCACAGTGAATGGTCATCCAGCACTGGAATTAGTTTTAATGTTTTGCTGAGTGGTCGTTGCAGACAGCAATAGCAGCATATATATATTCTATCTGTTCACAAAACAAAATGCAAATTCAAGACATACATACACTCACATACAGAGCAATTTTGGTTAATTATAATGTAAAAAGTTATAATAGCCTGGAATGCAACCCGTAACCCCCCACATTCAAAGCTACAAAAACATTCCCACTTGACCAACCAGTCATTCTGGACTTTTAACTGCTGGGCCATGTATTTATGCACTGATCTACACTCCTATAAAATAAGGTTCTTTAATGGCATCTATGGTTCCATGAAGATCCTTTAGAACTGTTGACATGAGGAACAGTTCACTGAAAGGTTCTTTGGGGAACCAAAAATGGTTCTTCTATGACATTGCTACGAAAACCCCCTTTTGGAAGCTTTATTTTTTAGAATGTACAAAATCCTGGAACTGACAAATGTTGGAAAGAAGTTGTCAAGTTAAATGAGGCACTTTGTTTACTATTTGAATTAGTTGACAAGAATGATTGTTCCCCTAAAATTACTGTTTGAATGATTTTTGGATGTTTCCAAAGCAAATCGTACTTACATTTCAGCTCGCAAATGACTAATCTATTGAACTCACCTGTTTTTATTGAAGCAGTACATAAAAAAGTTAATATTAATTATTTGTGCAAAACCTAAATAATATGTGCTAAATCTGTGCTATTTCGACAACCAGAATGTCTGTTCACCAAACTTTCTCCACCATTTTTTAAACAAAGCGACACTCTTTTCACCTGTTTCTTGTGATTTCAACTGTTAAATACTTTGCATATGTCTCTTATGCAACGTGAAGTCATGTATGGAAACACTGCAAGATGAAGCCTTCTTTTCTAGTTTGAGGGTAGTTGTGCTTGCGTTCTTGGTTTCAGATTACATTCAGCCTCTTGTCTCGCTGGAATTTGAATGGACTATTTTGGCTTTGACCTTGGACGCTTTAATGTTTACGGTGTTTGCATTATGGCTGGAGTTGAGCTTGTTAAAGAGTCCAAGGCGCTCGTTTGACCGTGTAATTGTCTTATACCTTATAAAAGACCTTATAAAGTTTGCCACATCCATACACACACAGTTCTTGCTGAATCGTTGTTATGTTGGCTGAGACAAAACCTCAGTCGCTGAATGTACATCTATGATGGCTTCCTTTGAGACTCTATAATCACATCTAATTCCATCAGCTCAGCTGAGGAGACAACATCCTCCACTCAAGTTACAGAGCTTTTGATCACAGCTACAGCTGCTCATATTAAGTTCATCATGAGTCTATTTTTGGAGTCATAGTGTGAGGTTTTGTTTTTGAACTCTTGTATTCTTGAGGAACATATCTGAATTGTATTGTTTAGGGTTAGTATTTTAGATGTTGTAGTCATATGTATTTGTAACTATTTCTTGAAGGAGAATGATTTTTGCTTTTCCTTTAAACAGCTGTTTTTCTCAGAATGACTTCTGCTGTGTCACAGTGTTTTCAAGCAGAAGACGGGTTTTCCCAATGAGCTTCTGTTTTTCCTGTGTAAGGCCACAGTTCTTGTTCACTGAATGTCTTTACTTCCATAAACCCACAGTGAAACAGTTACTAGCATTTGAGAAACATTATGAATTCATCTTAATTGAATGAATCAGTCCTCATTATTGAATATGACTCCATTTTAACTTAATTGTATCCCGCTTTTAGTTCGCCAGACCATGACAGCAGAACAGAAGACAGCTGATGCTTTGAAACAAATGGTGAAGATTTCTGAGCTTTTCTCCTCAGATGGCGTCTCATTTTCACTGATTAAAAGATCTTTTCTCAGATTTCAAGGCCAGTTAAAACCAGCTAAAGTCATGCAAAAGGAGAAGACATGTTCAGTGCTATTCAAACCACAGCTGATGATTCACTTAGGTATTTTTCTGTAGTCTGGCGCTAATAATTTTACGTGCAATCAAGTCCTGTTCAAAGTAGTCCATTGACAGTTGATGGCAGTGAAAAGCTCATATTGAAAGCTGAAAGAACATATACATGTTGTTAAAGGAGTAGCTCACTTCCAGAATGAAAATTCTTTCATTGTTTACTCACCCTCCACTTGTTCCAAACCTGTATGAGTTGCTTTCTTCTGTTGAACACAAACGAAGATATTTAGAAAATTTTCCATAGTAGGGGAAAAAAAATACTATGGAAGTCAATGGTGCTCATTAACTGTTTGGATACCAACATTTTTCAAAATATCTTCATTTGTGTTTAACAGAAGAAAGAAACTCATACAGGTTTGGAACAAGTGGAGGGTGAGTACATGATGACAGAATTTTCATTCTGGAAGTGAGCTACTCCTTTAAAGCAGATCTGAAAGCAGGAACAGCTAATCACAGCCATGACAATAACCATTCCTTAACCTCTCATAAGTCTTATAGAATGCCCACTTGCATAATTGGATACTGAATATGCGCTCGGCAAAGCAGAAGTTTGTGGTTTCCATAATGACTGCACATTTAAAATGTGATTGTGAATTGCACAATGTGGAAATGCAAAAGCTACAGTCAAATCCTGTCCATATACAGAAACGAATTTCAGAAATCAAATCAGGAGGTCAACTTAGATGAACATTTAAAAAGAAGAGAAAAGAGTTTTAAAAAACCTAAGATGACCTCTCACTTCTATAAAGATGGTTTTCAATATAACATGGCCCTGATCTCAACTTATCTGAGTGAAATATAACATTTTACCTCAAATAACAGCAGTATTTTTGGTAAAAACCATAAAGCTTTTCATTTAGGATACAATCTGATGGTTGATTCTCTGAACTTGCGGGTTGGACTCTGACGGATGTGTTTTTAGGATCTGATTTCTCTGAGGAGCTGCACTCAGTAAATGTGAATGCTAAACAGAAAACAAAGATATGCTGATATTTGTAGTTGCTCTGGGATCAGTTAGACATGCTGAATATTGCTTAGCATCTTCAGCTCACATGCTAATAAGCGTGCAAAATATTTATGAGTGTTTGTAACCCTGGATATTATTTTTGTTGATTCTTAAGAACACATAAAGGGTCCGCTTATACAATAGCTTTCAAATGTTTTTCCTTTTTTATTTATGAAACTATAACCTCATCAAACCTATAAAAGAACACAAATTGAAGTATGTAAATTATGCACAAAAATGTTAAAATCACGTTAAAACTCTTTTTTGCCACCCTTTTCCTGCAGCTCTGCAAAATCTGCTGTAGTTGTTTGTTTGTTTGTGTGAACTCAATGTCACTTCAGCACACAAATCCACAGATGTTTAACACCACGAGAACGAGCACACAGCTGGGACTTCAGAACAGCTGAGGGAACATCATGGAGCTCACCAGTCTGAGGACATTTGTTGGCTTCTAATCACTGGATTTGACAATGTTTGTGACATGTTTCTATATATCCTGGACTGTTGCGATATCGAGTGTTTTTCACTTCCATCTGTTATTGTACTGTCATCACTTTCAGATTTACTGAGCCCTAAATGACACATAAAACAATGACTACGTTTACATGGACATCAGTAATCTAATTGTTTATTCTAAATAAGACAATATTATGATTAAGGTGTTTACATGAGTTGCTTTTAGAATATTCCTTTCATGTTCCAGTTTTACATGTTATAGTACATAGTTCGATTAATGGCACACGTCATTACGTCCCCACATGACGCCATTAGACGTCCCCTCCAGAATTTCCCGTTTAAACATATAGTTTGTCTTCGTTATGATGCCATATACAGTTTTAGGTGTTTCATTTTTAATTTTATGAAAGCTTCAAGTGCAGTTAATTATTTGTCATGCTATACATCCAAACAGACGACGGCGGTGTTGAAGCCATGCTTTTTTGTTTGCTGTCAAACGGTTGAGCACTGTGTATATTGTCGCAAAATGCGGCGAAATGTCCTACACGACGGTAATAGTGTGATTAAGGTGTGCACATGTCTATACTGCACTTCGATAATGCGACTAAAATAGGAATACGCCACATGTCTTAATTTGATTAGTGTTTACTTCGAGGATGACTTAGCCGGATTAAGTTAATCAAAAATCTGTTTACATGGTAGATTCTTAATCAGAGTATTGTCTTAGTCGTGTTAAAATCAGAATACTGTTGTCCTTGTAAACATACTGAGTGTTGTTGATTTATATGTTGGTCGAATGGTCTTTTCTTGTCTAAGTGGACATTCAAGGATTTCTGAATGACTAGGTTGAGTGAGAAATTCAATGACTCACTCACTGACTCTTTCCTGAATGAAAAAAGTGTTTTGAATAAATCGGGTGAATAAGTGATTCAATTCAGTCGCCACCTACTGGCGTAAATGTATAACCTAATTGTGTGTCCAAACAAACCCTACAGTGTTTAGGAGAAATTGGTAAAAGCTCATGAAATTAGAATGATTTCTGAAGGATCATGTGACACTGAAGACTTGAGTAATGCTGCTGAAAATTCAGCTTTGATCACAGAAATAAATTACATTTTACAATGTATTCAGATAGAAAACAGCTATTTTAAATTGTAATATTACTTCACAATACTAGTGTTTTTACTGTATTTTTGAGCACATAAATGCAGCCCTGGCAAGCAGAAGAGACTTCATTAAAAACATTTAAAAATCGTAATGTTTCCAAACTTTTGACAAGTACTGGAGGCTAT